GTCAAGTGGAGCACGATTTGCTCGACGTGAGCGGCTCTGCTCGGCGCTCGCTTTAGCGATTCACTAGCGAATTTTTATGTTACATTACAGCGCTCGGCTTCAGTCAGTCACCCCCTTTATACAAACCCCTAATTATAAAATAATTCTTGGAATTTTTTTCCGAACAGTCTTTGAATAGTCTTAAGGCTGCTACACACAGTGCCGGCGGCTGCCTCCGTACACCCGGCGGCATACAAAGCCGCCGGCCTTGCCGCACAAAGGAGCCGCCGGCATTGCCGCCGGGGAATGCCGGCGGGTTACGCGGCTTGCCGGCGTCACTTCGTTCCTGGCATTCGAGCGGTAGTGTTGTGCGGTTTGTGTGTTTAAAATGTCGTTTAATTGGGACGACGAAGCTGTGCTGCTCTTAATTGAAAAATTTCATGAAAATGATATATTATGGAATCCCAGAAATGCAGACTATAAGAATAGGAGCAATCGACGCACTGAACATAATTGCAAGTGTATTTGACATTGATAGAGGCGAAGTAGAGAGAAAGTTAAAAAATGTAACCTCTCATTATTTTCGGGAAAAAAAGAAGTTCGAACAGTTGCACAAATCTGGTGTAGGCATAGACGATGTACAGAAACCCAAAAAACATGCTATTGCGCAAACGCTGACACCCCACATCATCTTTTTTATACTCTTCTATCATTACAGTACCGTTTCGCCATTTTCTATTTTGTAAAGTTGGGTGCAACCCAAACCTTCTCTTCCTTTTGTATTTTTTTCTTATTAAAATAAAAATTACAACCTTGGCGGCTGTGCTGATGATTTCCTTATTCATTTTAACCAACCAACCATAAAATATGCACTTCACTAGCGTTCTATGTGATTGTCACAACCGGAATGATGCTTATCGGCTTTGCGCGGCTTGTGCCGGCGGCTTGTATTGCCGACGGCATAGCCGCTCGGCATAAACCCGGCGGCATTGCCGCCGGCTTGTGTGTAGTAGCTTTTATACATATTATACGAGATGGCTGCTGGGATATTTTTGGGCATCATAGATTGTCATATGGAAATGGCAAGGAAAAATGCGGTGCACATATTGAATACTAAAAAAACTAATTTAAACTTGAACTATTCAAAAATAACAAACCATATATTATAAGATTCGGTATATTAATACTGAACACTCAAATCCGCCTAAAAAAAATCACACGCAAACAAAACCAATGCATGCTTTTTTGTGATATCGACACCACACATTCACAGATAAAGGCAAAATACCGACCTCTTGGATCGAGTCATGTTCCTATAGAAACAGTTCTGCGACTTTTTTAAGTACTGTTTTATTACTAGCAAAAAAAAACGTAGAAATGGCCTACTACGGTATTGGGATGCTTTTGTGTCTGATGAAAAAAGAGTGTCAAACGTGTTTCTTCATATTTGGCTAAGAAAATTGAATGATGTGAATCCAAGAAAAGCTATAACCATACAATCATTGGTAGTCCGAAGAACAACAACACTAACACATTCACTCGTATCAAGTTTCAAACAACAATAGGCATACTATAAAAAACTTACCAGGACCAGCGCTGAAGCCTGACATGAACTTTCCAGCCTCGACAGGATTCTCAAAGTTGAAGTTTATCACAGCTATCCATTGTATCCAATTAGTTTGCACCACACATCACTAATATCAATTACTACTGATCACTTTCCACTTGCAATCGCGACTTGAAATGTGCAAGTAACCGTCGCCGACGTCGCTTCCTGCGACCGCGTGCGTGATCGGTACTTGCATAACAGCGCGCGTCGAGAAACACGCGTTGATCGACGGGGTTAGGCAGTACCGGGCGAAAGAAGCGTCGGTGTGATTTATTCCTGTTTTAGTGGATCTCCATCGGCGCATTCTACACGGTGTATGTTTTGTGCAGTGGACGACAATTGCAGATGTCGTGCGAGGTTATCCGGAGTCTGAATTTTTCTAAAGCCGCGTACAGGCCGAGATTACAACGTTTGTCTGCATTCGATGAGAGGAGACTCGTCGCTCGACATTAACACCGAACTTAACCCGACGCGGTCCATCTCCAAACTAAATTTAGGTGTAGACGACGTGGGGACGAGCGCATTCCAATACCTTCCAACAACAAACGCAAACGTCACATGTGCGTGTATTCTTTTGCCCGGCGTTGGAATTTCGGTCTGTATGCGGCTTAACAGGAACAGGCGCTTTGTTTATGATTTTATGTTTTGCGCGTGGTTCGGTGATTTTTATCTGAAACTAGTTTCCAAGCTTCAGCAATGATCACTGGCAAGTTTTTCTTGAATGCCGTTTATTGTTAAGGCGGGTACGCATATGAGCACGAACGCGCGAGGACGAACCATTTGCCTCGGAGACGGGAAGGTCGGGTTCCTGAATAGTGGACGCTCGAGGCATTGTACGGAATCGATCCATGGAATGTGGCGAGCATTCTTGTATTTCAGTAGCTTTTAAAATATGGCCGATTCAGATTCTGATGGTGAACACGCTGCGTATGTTATAATTTTAACCAGTGTATTAAAAAAGGAAGACAAGAAAAAACAAAAAGATGGCCGTTAAAATTATATCTTAACAGAAGAAAACTGAATGAAAATAGCACAGGTTTGTTAAAAGATCTCTTGGACGCCATAATATCCTTCTCTTTTGATATTCTTCAATGAGTCATAACACTAAAATCTGAAACCATTCCCTTATTATTAAAAGGAAGCAATAAAAAATAGTATTTTATAACGATAATCTTTGTTCTTGCCCTGCTAGTTACTGCAGAGTAGATCGCGACTTGAAATGTTTATTTCCGCCCATACTGAGCACGCACCGAGCACGTGCCTCCCTTTGATGTACCGGGAAGACACGGATCGGGTCGAACCCGAATGCATACGAATTCGAAAACCTCGTTCCGACGTACACATAGGTATGCTTATGCTCATGCGTCCTCGGGTTGCCTAATTCACGTTCGTGCTCATATGCGTTCCCGACTTTAGACACTTCCGAAGAAAATTGCCTCAGCTGTTGTACATTAGCTTTTTTTAATTCGCAGTGGTTCTATTTATCGAAACGTAGGTCAAACAAAGCCATATGTTTTAGCCTGTTTGGGGACTAGAAAGGGGGCAATAAGTATTGTCATTTTTGTAGCTGGCATAGGTGCTATAATTCTGAAATGCGTCTAAATTAATTTGACAGCTGTGAAGGGAATCTCAGTAATACTATGGCCCAAATTACTGATAAAAGGTTAGTAAGTGTATTATTTTTTAGTTATCCGCTTATTTTTCGAACATTCCTTGGTTACAGTACTTTGGAATTATCCAGATATCTTTGAAATTGTCAAGATACACCGTCATGGTTTTCACGGCTGTTGTCAGCTTGAAAAGCACTATTAGAAGCATTATACAATAGTTGCTTTTTTACTAGAGCTTATCACTCTCAAGTTACATAGTTAAATTTCGAAGCTAAATAAGGTGCGTAGATCTGATTTTTGAGCATTTGCGGCACCTCATCAAGCAGGGGTCCTGTGCAAGAGTCCCGTGTGCTGATAGGGTAAAGACGGACTAGTTTGATGGTGATATTTGAAATCAACGTTCCAAATTAACCCAGAGAGATTCATCATCGAACGCTACACGATCCCACAACGTGTTTGTATTGTTAAAACGTTTTACTTAAATAATGAATCGATTGTTGTAAGGATTAGGATGCTACGACAAGATTTCGGTCGAAATAATGTGCCGAGTGGCAACACCATTCATCAGTTGGTGCGGAAATTTGAACAAACAGGTGAAGTTAAAGACTTTCCAAAGTCGGGGTGATCGAACTGTCCGTCCTCCGGAAAATATCGAAATAGTTCGTGAAAGTATAGTGTAGCGCCTTGAGACATCTACCAGTCATCGTTCTCAAGAACTGGGTGTTCATCGCAAGTCATTATGCACTATTATAAAACAAGACTTGCATTTGCGGCCATACAAAATTCAGTTATCCCAAGAACTACAGCCTAGTGACCATGAAAGTCGCCCGACAATACAGTCATGCAATATTACAGCTTAATACCCAAAATAACTATTTTTACCGACAACTGATAATGAGCGATGAAGCCCACTTCGATATGAACGGATTTGTTAATAAGCAGAATTGTCATATCCGGACATTAGAGAACCCTCATCCATCAACGATCACCACATATTCGTCGAGCCACAGTTTGGTTTGGAGGTGTCATTGGACTTTACTTCTTTGAAGACGCTGCAGGTAATTGTCTTACTGTCAATGGCGAGCACAACCGTGATATGGTGCAAAACTTTCTGGCTTCTCAAATTTAACAATTTAACTTGCAAGACATGTGGTTCCAGCAGGACGGAGCAACTTTTCACACAACTAGGGAAATAATGGATCTTTTGCGAACAATACTTCCGAGTCGTTTAATTTCTCGATTTGGTGATGTCAACTGGCCACCAAGGTCACCGAATTTAACGGCTCCTGGCTTTTTTATGGGGATTTTTGAAAAAGGGGTATATGACAACAAACCAAATACTGTAGAGCAGCTGAAGAACAATATTACGGAAGCGATTGAAAATATTCCTCCCGAAACCTATCAACCTCTGATCAAGAGGGCTCAGCTTTGCGCGGCTTCTAGAGGCGGACATTTGCCTGATAGTATTTCTCATACATAATTTCTATGTTTAAATAAAAGATTAAGATGAACGAAATTGACATATTTTATTTCGTTTCACAAATCAAGATACAAACTAGTCAGTTACATATCGGCCGCCCTGTATAAAAATTTTAAAGTAGATTTATACTTAATGGACAGAGAAGATAGCTGTGATAAATTCTCATTTAATCTAATCTTCTAAACTTGATAAATGTAAAATGATATAAATTGCCCACTCAGATTTTTTTTCTATAGATACAGTTGCCTTTTCATAATTTCGAAACTGATGGAAGAGTTACACAAAGTAAGAGGATCTACATTCTACTAAAATAAAACCTGCGTTTGGTTATAGAAAGAGTTTAATTAATTTCCGTTACATAATTTAAATACATATAACAATAGGAAATCAACACAAAGACATCCGATATTAATGAAAATGTCACGCTGTGGCTGTCTGGCAGCAGCAGCAGCACCCTTAAGTCATATCATCATCAGCAGAATCATCGTTTTCTTCGCCGTCTGCGTCGTTCGGTACTTCCGGCCTAATGTTATTCAGCAGTTCACGCATGGCGTCCACCAAATTGGCAACACTGCGCCTCAGGTTGCCACCTTCATTATTATCGTCCTCTACTAGTGCTCTGGCTGCATCCTCTCTGACCCTAAAACAGTTTATGATCAGTAAAATCTCATAGAAGTCTATGATCTTTTGGGCAAAATGGTACCACATATATGTGGTGATTATTTTTTATTGACGTTTTGGCGCTTCCTGAAATGTTGACCTTTTTTTTCCTCTGCATTATAGTAGAGGCAGTGGATTTTTGGTTTCATCTTCGCGTAACAGAAAAATTGGATAAATCTAACGTATTTTGTTACTAAACAACAAACTTGCCGATTTTGCTGTTTAGCATCAAAGTACATAAGATTCTGCTGGTTCCTAAAATAGATCAGGTAACCAAATAAGTTCGTGCGGTTTTTAGTAGAAAAATACAAATTTTTATTGAGAAAGAATAAGACACTATTTATTCGTAGAAGTAATTACCATCACATTCAATGACTTTTTGCCAACGTGGAACCAATTTTTGTATGCCGGTTTTGTAGAACTCTCTGGAAATGGAGTAAAAAAATTGGCGGACAGCATTTATTACACCATCTCGAGTTGTCAACTGACGGTGCCTCATACAGTTGTAAAAAAAAGGTGATAATCACTGGGCGAAATGTCGGGAGAATATGGCGGATGCGGTAACGTTTCCCAGCTGAGTTCAGAAATTTTTTCTCGTGTCACTTTTGCGGTATGAGGCTTGGCGTTATCCTGCAAGAATATCACTTTCTTCCGATTGATTAAAGAAGGCTGTTTCCGGATGAGTGCTGCTTGTACTCGTTAAAGCTGCTCACAATACAAGTTAGCAGTGATGGTTTGACCCCTTTCCAAAAACTCATAATGGACAATTCCAGTTGCTGTCCACCAAATACACAACAAAACCTTGTTTAGGTGCAAGGAAAGCCCTGAGCGTGTGTGGTACCAAATCAGTAGGCGACAACCAAATATACGAAAGCTTAGAATTCGAATACAAGATCCATTTTTCGTCGCAGGTTAATAACCGATTAAGAATTGGTTCATTAGCGTTGCGTGAAATGTTTGCTGAACAAATGGTAAGACGACTTAATTTATTATCATTTGTCAGTTCATGTGCTTAACATCCACATCTTTCCTAGCTGATGAAGATGCAAACGAATAGTTTAAGGACTCACTCTGAACATTTCTGCAAGTTCTTGGCACGTTGTCGTGGAATTTGCGTCCAAAACTTGTCGAAGATCGTCGTTGTTCATGATTTTTGGTCTCACTGAGCGCGGTTCATTGCTCAAACTGAGATCTCCCTAAGAAAATTTCTTTCTCACTTCTGTGCTGATCGATCACTAACGGCATCATCTCCGAATGCGGTACGTATTTTTCGTGCCGCCGCTGCAGCTTTTGTACCAAGTTTGTACTCACACAGTAAACAACTTCTCTTCTTATTCGTCACCATTTTCAATTATTTAAAGTAAACTGAATGCAAATTCAAGATGAGATGTAAATAATAACAGTTAGCGCGTGATCTCTCGGTAACAGGTGGGGACAACGCCTCTTATTGGTCAATTCGCCATTAAATTTCAAGCGGTCGCCTGGTGGAGGTAGGCAGAGTTGCATTCAGGCCACCGACCGTCGCGTGTATCACTACGTGCTCGTGTTTTCGTATTCACCTTACTTGGTTGTTGCTGTTGTTGTTGTTAAGTGTATTTGAGTAGTTTGTTAAGTTTCTGTTTGTTATTGTTATTCCTCATTATTATTTGTTTTGAACCAATCCTGAACATGTCCAGTACAGATACTGCTGACGAGGCTGTAGGCTACTCCCTTAGCCCTCCTAGAAAGCGATCAAAAAAAGAAATCTTAGCGTAGACATGAAAGACGTCATATTGAATACATTCAAGATAGAGCGGAAGGAAGACGAAACATCAATTAACCCGAAAATAGCTCTTAAAGTGGCAGATAAAATTGGGGTATGCCAAGCGACAGTGTACAATGTTTTGAACGAACATAAGAAAAAGCATGCCTTTTCCAAGCCAATGACGGGTAAAAATCGCAAAAGTATCATAAGATCGTTGGATGACGCTGACAAGCATGCGATTCGGAGGAAAGTGCACGAGTTCTTCTTCAGAAACGAAATACCGACAGTTGATAAAGTACTACGGGAGCTTAACGAGGATGCTATGTTACCAAATTTCAAACGTTCGACTATTCATAAACTTTTGAAGCATCTTAATTTCGAATGGAAGAAACGAGGTCGTAACAGCTTACAATGGATAGAGAAGAAATTGTTCTGTGGAGGAGAGAGTACCTGACCAAAATTAAATCATTCAGGGATCAGCACAGCAAGATCTATTACCTGGACGAAACCTGGATTAACGCTGGGCACACTACTCCGAAGGTATGGGTTGACAAAACTGTGACTTCATCCAGAAGGGCATTTCTAGGGACAGTCGACCGGATAGAAAAATCCAGCAGGTAAATAGATCGAAGTAGTTCACGGAATCAATTTTTGCGCACAATATTTCTCTATCTTCGTACCTACAAGACGTGCATGTGTACTTAGCGGATTTTATCTTTCTGGGCAAAGGAAAAAGGGTCATTATTTGCCACATTGGGGGTGTAGATGGCTTCGTGGATGACGGCTTATGGTCTTTTGAGTCAAAAAAAACCACTGACTACCATAAAGAGATGAATGGGGAAGCATTCGAGAAGTGGTTTTCAGGCATTTTACCACGTCTCGAAGACAATTCTGTGGTTGTTTTGGATAATGCTCCCTATCATTCTCGCAAAATAGAAAAAATCCCAACTTCTAGGTAATCAGACATTCAGAGCTGGCTCCGTTCCAAAAATATAACTCTTCAGGCCAGGATTTCTAGATAACTAGCAACTAAGTCAAATACTCCGATGATTTGTCAAATAGCAAATTGAGGTTTGAAAAAATTTGAACTTGAAACTGACATTCCTATTTTGTTGCTATTTGTGAATCGTAGATAATGATGTCTGTTTTTTGTTAAGAAAGCCTTATTCTCCTTTAGAATTATAGGTATCGAGTAGCGGTCTCATGGAAGTTCCACATATTAATAATTAATAAAGGGATTTTTACTTACACTTCGTCAAAGTTCTGTGGAATGTTCTGATTGTTGAAGTTAGGCAAGATGGATCTAAAAAACATTCCCAGCGGACTTGAATTATTTAGCGGCACGTTCGGTCTCTTAGGCCTCGTGTAGGTGTTTATTGAATCTTTGGGAGGTAGAGGGTCGAACCCTAAAACAGGCCCATTGTACTCCTGAAAAAAATAAATTACCGTAAGATCATAGTCAGTCAATCTCGATAACAATTAAGATGGCATCTCGAGAATGTCCTTAACGCAACAGTAACCTGAGGAAGTCAATCAACAACGAGTTCTAGCACTGACTTCTCCAAGAAGATGTCAAATATTAATCTTGATAGCGCTGAAAAAAAGTTGGGATATTTGTTTAGGGTTAAGAAGTACTTTTCTCCAAATAAAGTGCTCATTCTACACAAACCCCAAAGAACATCCAGCCGAGAGTGCTGCTCAGATGTTTGGGGTGCTAGCGCTACGACTACACTGTGCATTTCCGATGCCGTTTAGGAGAGGGCTTTCCAACTTGGGTCCCTTTCACGTTGACGGGCAGTCGACCATCTGGCTATCTTTTACCTCTATGCCAAAGGACTTTGCTCCTCAGGAACTTTGTACACCCAGAACTGGCAGTTACGACTCCTTTGTTCCTAGGGTATCGAGATTGTGGAACAATTTGCCTGAGAAGGTGTGTGCAAGCTCTACCAGCTTTAGGCACTTCAAAAAGCCGATCAATGATGTGCCTTTAAGCACCTTATAGCAGGCGCGGTGCTTTGGCTGCATAATCACTATAAAAAAAACGGCATATTGTCAGGTAGGATCGCAGCAGTAATTAAAACATGGGTTGGGTATCAACCAAGTTTGTAAAGTAATTGGTAGCAGCAAACGAGTTAAAGAAATTGTGTATTCTCAAACTTATCATCTTTCCAAGGAAAGACAAATAGTCAATTTTCCTCGTAAGTATTCGTAGGATTTCATATTCTCACAACTTGCGACTGCCCGAGACATACATATATAGTTGAAATCATAATTTGCCGCTCCACGATTATTACGATTATTGTTATTATTAAATCATATATTTGCATCGAGTACAAGTACTATAAACTCAAACACATAATACTTGATAGTGTACAGAAAAATGCAATGTACAAGTGGAGAATGGTAACATTTAATAATAACAGGAGAACAATAACGTATGCCCTAAAAGTTTAGGCACAAAGTTCATTTACTTTAATTTTAACAAACACAAAATAATATCAATTTGCCTTTGGAAACAAAAGTTTGTTTACATACTTTACTGTCAGTTGACATTTATTTATTTTGAAGTTTTCGCTTTAAGATGTATAGTAAATTAGAAAAAACAAAAAGTATCTACAAGTTGGTTGAGCGCGAACCCAAAGCTGAAATCTGTCGAATATTTCAGAATGAAAACATTTCACGCAGAACTAATAGCGGAGTGCGAGCAGGAAATACCATGTCTGAATCTCCCACGTGCATTTTACTTCACAGAGGTCAGAGAGATTGTCTAGAAGAGCAAAAAATCAGGTTGGAATGTCAACAAGGAGACTGGCTTGTTTGTTTGTTTAAGATTTATTTAGCATGATTGCTACAATTACATTCTTCTAAAAAACTAAACAATTACATAACATACAGACATTCAGAAAAAAAAACAAAATTTGCATCTCTAAGAATTTTCATTGTCCTTGAAATATCCCTTTAATTTTCTTTTAAATATCTTTAAATTACAAGTAGACTTTATAGCGATGTTTATTAAATTCAAGTAATCTTTTCTGAAATATTGATTTGCTTCTTATATTACTATTGCAACTTTGTAAATGAAAATCTATATTTCCTCTTGTATAATAATTGTGGTAATGATTATTCAATTCTATGTAGTGTTCTAAATGTTCTGGCAAAGGATAATTTTTTATTTTAAATATAAAAATAAGAACCAAATATGGTATGAAATTTTTTATATTCAACCACTGCAATACTTGTAACATAGATTTTATTTTGGTGTACTTATTTTTACTCAATATTATTCTCATAGCTTTATTTTGCATGACTTGTAATTTTTAGAATATAGCTTCATTGGCAGTGAACAAGATAGTTGCGGTAGAATAATTGTATTATAAACTATTTTCTTGGAATAGGTACCAAGACTATGATAAGCCCTATAAAGGTAATTTGTTTTTTTGGCAATTTTTGAAATAATGTATTCATAGTGATCCTCAAACTTTAGTTTACTATCAATATATATATACGTAAATATTTAATTGATTCAACATTTTCAATTATTTCTCCATTTATCCTAACTGTGATAGTATTTTCATTTAGGTATTTCCCTATTAGTATACATTTTGTTTTAGAAGTATTCAATTTTAGTTTATTTACATTTAACCAATTTACGATTTTTGCCAAGTCAGAATTTAGCATTTTTAAAACAGTGTCTATATTTTCATCTGATATGTATCATCTGCAAATATCTCAAGTTTACAATAATCTAAAATATTACAAATGTCATTAATGTATAAAATAAATAGTAGTGGACCTAGTTTACTACCTTGTGGTATACCAACAGAAGTATTTTTTGATCTTGATAATGTAGATCCAATTTTGGTTTTTTACTTCTGTCAATTAAATAGTTTTGTAGAGTTTTGAATACAGATCCTTTAAATCCGTAGTGATGCAATTTTGTAAGTAATTTATCCCTGTCAATAGTCTCAAACGCCCTTTTGAAGTCCAAAAACACGGTTACTGTATGTTTCCGATTGTCCATACATCTCCTCCAGCCCTCTAAAACCATTTGTGTTGCCGTCTGAGTTGAGTGTTTTCCAGCTTGAAATTTGGTTAAAATGTTATTTCCCTCAATAAATTCGATGATCTGTTCGTAGATAATTTCTTCAAAAACTTTTTCAACATCTGGCAGAACATTTATTGGCCGCATATTGGTGTACAACTCTTTCAATTCTTAACTTTAGAAACAGGAGTTATGGTAGAACACTTCAGTTTTGTTGGAAATTCGCCATATTTTAAACAGTAGTTTATCAGGATTAATATTCTTGCTCCAATAATATCAAAACATTCATTAAGCACATTTTTAGACAAAATCTCACTCTTATTTTGATTAGATTTTTGATATAATCTTCTTCAGACGATTAATGTTTATTGTTCTAAACTCACTGAATGATGCATTATAATCTGAGCTAATGGGACATAATTGATTTTACAATGTCGTTGACACTTTCTATGAAATAGGTATTCATTCGATCTGCTATTATTTCTTCATGTGTTTTTACCTAATCGTCGAATTTCATTTTAGATAATGTACTTTTTCTAATAGGAGAAACAATGTTTTTCAAGGTTTCCACATATGTTTGCTATTATTTTTACTCTGATCAATTTTGGCATTGTAATATTTTTTCTTTTCATTTCGTAGAACTGCTACAGATTGGTTTCTTGATCATGTGTATTCAAGCCAATCATTTTCACTTCCAGTAATCACAAACTTTTTATAATTGTAGTCTCTTTTTAATTTAGAATCCTTGAACGTATGCGAGAACCAAGGTGTTGGATTTTTCCTTTTATAAATTATTGTCTTGACTGTAGCTTGTTTTATGCAAACTTCAACATTATCCAATAGGTTTATATAGTAGCTATCAACATCAACAAACGCTTCAGTCATATCTTGCAGTAAAAGAGCTTCTCGTAATTTTACATACTTGATATTAGTAATTTCCCCACTTTGTTAGCATCAAGTTTACTTTCAACTTCAAAACATATCAATGAATGATCACTGAACTTAGGAGTATGCATAACTTTTGCAATTAAATTTTGTTCGTTCGTTATTATCAAATCTATAATAATTGTTCTTGATTGATTTGTAATTCTGGCGTGATCATAGACTTTTTGCCATAGTCCATAAAAACTGAGTACGTGTTTAAATGTCTTTGCGTAGAAGTCTTGATTATCAAAATTTATATTAAAATCGCCCAAATGTACCGTGATGCAGTTCCGATAAAAATGTTTTTCAAAGATATTTTTGAAAAAATCTATAAATCTGTTTATATTTCCAGTTGGAGATCTGTAGTAAATGTGTAAATTATAATTGTGCTTACAATTCAATTCAACATTGATAAACTACCATTGGTACTCAACAGCTACAATTTCATGTACTCTAGTTTCTATTTCACATAAAATATATAATAATATACCACCTGTATGTCTGGAAATTGTGTTTGCTCTTACAATTTGATAGCCTTCAAAACCAATTTCTTCATCGTCAATATCCTCTGTGGGATGTGTTTCAGTCATTACAGATCTTCTAAGAGTACGATATCGTTGGAATTGAGGAGGAATGGACGTAAATATCGAATTTTCTTTACAAAACCGATCAAATTATTTTTGGAATAACAAAATTATTCAAGTAGTTAAATCAATAATGCTTAAGCTTTAAATGATTTGCTTCTTTTGTTTGCTCTCCTCTCCTTTCTTTCCCTATCCCCATGAATTTGTCTGGTATTTGGGTCACCAGACCTGACAGGCTAACAGACCTACGAGACTTTTTTTAACAAACAGTAAAGGTCCACTGGACCACTCTGACAATCAACGATAAATAGTACTGTTCACTGTTGTCGATTCCACTATATAAAATGGAAGACTGTTCCAAGCGTCGAAAAGTCGGTTCGACATAAAGCGTTGACGAAAGGTTCCTTCTGCAACTTGAATTTATGGCCATACGAGACAGGTGCGACATAACAACATCAGAAAAATTATATGGCGCTCTAAAAGTGATTATGAGTTCCCGCAGACTTCTGGTATCAAAAGTAGGCAGCTGAAACAGCTCAAGGCTCATAATTGAGTCTATGTGTGCGACGCAAACACCCTCCAACAAGCTCCTATCATGAACGAGGTTTGAATCTCATACGGCACCAGCAAACCCCAACAGGGACCGCACAAATGTTTTGTATAAAGAACAGATACTAACAGCGCAACCGCTGTAGGATCTTTCCATCATATATACGAGCCGCTCGGCTTTTGGAGTGATGTTCTGAATGTGTTCCGACCAGATCAGACGGACATTAACTATCAGACCAAGATCTGTGTCAATCTTGTAGTATTTTTCTTGCTTAGGTGGAGAACGTGGCATTTCGAGAGGCTCAAAAAGAGAAGCCATGCTTATTTCCGCGTAGGCACGGCTCTGAAATGAATTGGGTATCTACTGGTAGACTACCTTAATAATGGTTCTAGCCACGTAAAAATCTAAATATGTTTCTCACCTCTAACGTAGGAGATACACCTTTGTCTGATAAAAGCATATGCCTTGCTATGCTCTGAGGAAGATGTCCAGCATATCTTTTAGTACGTTTCTCTTCATAATCTTTGATGACTGGATCTCCCTTTTCTACCCTGTCAAGAACCTCATGTACATTTTTTTCTAGCCAAGGCAACAGATCACTGTCCTTCCAAATGTGATAACTCCTGTTTATGTACAGGAGAATAAGTTGCGTCAGTGCTTGAGGTTGGCTGAAAAAAAAATTTAGTAGGAATATTCGTATTGATCTGAAGATGAAGATGTACAGCGTGGCCAATATATAAATGACTGATTTAAATGGCGCGCCATTTTTGATGCACGCATTTCAGTAGGTGGCGTCGTAGTAGTTGCTTAAAACACATGTGTCCAATTCATAATGGAGCGCTACACGATGCACAACGCGTCCGTATTGTTAAAAGGTTTTACTTAAATAATGAGTCGATTGTTGCAAAGATTCGGAAGCTACGACAAGAATTCGGTCAAAATTATGTGGCCAGTGTCAACACGTGAAGTTACAGACTTGCTAAGGTACAGCCTTGTTCGAGCTGTTCGTACTCTGGAAAATATCGAGATAGTTTGTGAAAGTGTAGTTGAGCGCCTTGAGACGTCTACCAGACATCGTTCTCAAGAACTGGGTATTCGTCACACGTCATTATGCCCAACTGATAATGAGCGATGAAGTTCTAAGTTTCAATAAAAGATAAGGATTAAAAAAATGGACGTATTTTATTTCATTTCACAAATATTAAAGATACAAACCAGTCAGTTACATATCGGCCACCCTGTATATATATATATATCTAAATTTTTATATTTCCTGTAAAATTCAACAAATTGAGTAAAAATCGATACATACATGTATTACTGTTTAAATATCATGAAAACAGCATCCTAGATGAAGATTGGTCTGCTCGTCTTGACCCTTTTTAAGTACGTCTTAAATAGTTAATTATTAGACAAAAAAAATTGAATACTATATTTTTTCAGACCTGAAAGAGTGTAAAACTTTAATTTAAATATATATTTTTCTTAGACAGGCGAAAACGCTGTCCCCTATGTTTGGCCATATATTAATGTGTTCTGACGTCATACCATTTGTAAACAGCAGCTGACAGCAGCATAGCCTGTCAAACTTTCAAACACAAACATGCCTATTCTACTAATTGAGATATACAGTAATTATCGTTAACGCATCGTCCGAGAATATAAAAACACATCAATAAAAACGCCAAGAAAATTGTGAATTAGAGTGGCCTGGGAAATAAATATATTCGCAACACTGTGTATTGCTTGAAGCATACCTTATTTTCGGGACATATTTTACATTTTGCTGTGCAAATCTTATCTTCTCATTTAAGTTGGATGTAACCTACGGCATCATCACCACGATCCCCGGGCAGATGTGTAACAAGAAATACAAAATCAGATAAAATTATTCAATAGTTGCATGAGCATGAGCTCAGGATGACTTCTGAAGAGGAAGATAACGTAAGTGTATTACTTATTATTTCTTTCTATGCTTATCATTATATCAGATGCACTGTATTTACATAGAAGTCCTGATGTTCCTCAGCTCAGCAGAGCAGAAATCCATCTATCAAATGACCAACCTTCAATGTGTTTATTTTCTAAAAATTTGTGCTTTCTGCTTTTACGAATCCAACGTCCATGATTGCTTTTTCAATAAAACGAGAGAGTGATAACTTTTTACGTTGATTAGGAATCTCTTAAAGACATTTAAAGAGGACTACGTTAGTCCACAAGTGACATACGGATCACGTTTTTGTTTACACTTTGTATGACGTCACGTAATGGTCATTTCCATTTCATATTAAGAATTAAAAATATTTTTTTGAATTGGGCTTATATATTTATCTTGCACTTTAAAAAAATTGAAATCAATGCACATATTTCGTTTTCCTAAACAAAATACTTTAAACAATACTCAATTATTCTAAACAAAATTAGATATGGGTCAACTAGCCTATCCCAATACTCACGAATTCTTGGAGCCAAAATCAATTCTGTCTTAGGGGTAAAAACCTATTTGCATAAAAATATGGGAACTTACGTTTTAGGGTCATCAGCACCAAGAAAGAATGAATGATTGGCAACCCTGTTGTCAATCTGTACGGAACACTTGTGTAATAAAGGTAACAGAACACCCGGGAACATCATCAGTGCTTCTTGTAAGAGACAGTCAGCTTTGGCGCTATCACCTATAACAATTGAAATGGTGACCTAAGGCTTTATTTTTGAGCGTTTCTTAAAGAAAATTGAATCAAATAAATTAATTTGGTTCATTCTGAACATTAATGTAAATATTTTAAAACTTTTAGGTATCAAAAAATTCTTAACCGTCGTTGACGCTACGAGAAATCATAAGTTGAAAAACATCGCGAAATGTTTTTATTTTTTATTTTTAAAACCTGCTAATTTACACTAATTACCTCAAACAATCACGAGGAACTAGAAAAACACCATAAAATGATTGACATGATTTGTTAGCCACTTCTCCACCATTTGCAAAGTTTTTTGGAATGGTATTAACCATGTGTCAAAACCACGTTTTCTTAGTTCTAGAGAGGCAGAGAATTGATGAACAGACAGCAAGCAAACAGACAAACGGAAATAAATGACATGGCTTTTCGTATTATATAGCACCCAATAAATGCCGTCAAGTAGGTTGACTCTGCACTTTCCATATTAAGCTATCACCAGTTCATAAAAAAGATGTTTGGCATAAAAAGTCAACTACGAACATGTATAAAAAACGAATTAAATAGATCAAGTCAGTCAAATAGAACTTACACAACCAGTTATTTCCGACAAAACAATAAATGACATGATGTTGCCTAGCTTCGTACTTAACTGATCTGGTTCACTGCAAATTCGAATTCATTTCCATTTCGAAAATCATTCTACTCGTAAATCTAAGGGCAGGTATACGGGAAAATAGATGTGTAAAAAATGTCTAAAAGGTGCGTAGAATTCCCGGGGTTAGAAGTCCGCTAGACCCGCGATATAGTGAACAAATTAATACATAGCACTGGATCTATTTGTTCAATATAAATATAGAATATTTCTAAAATTCACTAAATCAATGGTAGCCATTAGTAAACCAACTTTATTACCAAAGAAAAAAACAATATCTACTAATAAAAAAGTAGTTTATTCTTTTATCGAAAAATGAGTAACCTTTGTTGGTATTTCTATCGCCAAAAATTGAGACAAATTTCATTTTCGCGATTAGAATACTTCCTCGCCATATAATATAAAGGTGAAGTCTATAGGAACTTTGCATGCTATTCATGCAGTTTCTGCTCTACTTACCGTTGTAGAAGTGTGCGACGCCCAGCGAGTAGGTAAAGTTCGGCAGTTGCAACAAATTCTTCGTGGTGTCCCATTCAGTAACAAAATCTATTAACCACTGGAATTCGCGAGCCCTGATTGCGTAGAAATCGATGGCTAATTTTACTGCCAAAGGGTCACCGTCTGGGTCCAGAGACAGAAGAAGCTTGCAGAATTCTAGAGAGGTGCGGTAGCATGCCTTGCCACCAATGAATAGTAGATGTTTGAAGATTGTTATGTAGAGTGCCCTAAGAATTGAAGTTGAATAAGGTAGTTACTCAAATATTTCAATTTAGAGAATGGAAAAAATCTGTGGGATTCAAACCTACAACCTTGATAATCTGTAGCGACGTTTAAACCACATCACAATGTGACATCACTGTAGTCACCACAAAGTAATAATTTATCTAAAAAATATTGATCCGAATTTTGTTAGTTTAAAAACATTCTATTGAAATATTAAGTCAAAATCTGAAGTCAATTTTCCTCTGAATTGTCAGGAACTAGGTCTTCCCAACATTTAAGTATTTTGTAATAGACATAATAGAAATTCGCTTCTCTGTACTGTTTCGTTCACTTGTAACAACAGAAGATAAAAATGGAAGATATACGTCGAGAGTATCAATGCCAAGAAAACGAGGGTTAACTGCTTAAAGCAGGACACGTATTTCTTTGAAGGCAATACTGTCGGTAAGGAGCGCGTTGCTCTCGGAAATGTAGTATGCGTAGTTTCTGCGCATGTATACCTATGCACCTGAGAGAAAGAGAGATAGATAGATGCAGATATGAGAGAAATGGCACATGCTCAGAACCTGAAATACATTATGACGCAATGGCTATAGTAGAAAGCCCGTCTTTATTATTTTTTTACACCGAAGTAGCCGCGCAGGCCAGTTCTGGATGTACGAAGTTCGACACGGTTAGGATGAGAGGTCAAAGTCAGGCGGGTCTCTCTGGCAGGCATAGTGCGCGGCGGCATCATGGAGAAAGCCTGTTGGGTAGGGGTAGATGAGAGCTAGATCGCCGAAAAAGTCCCAAGACTGTCTGTTAGAGAAGGGGCAGCAGCACCCCAAGCGTGTGAAAAATACTCGAGGCTAGGCCTTATCTGGGCATTGTATAGGGTGAAGAGAAAAGTACTTCTTAGCCCTAAACAAAGAGCCTAGCTTTTTCCCAGCAGCTGCCGTTATTGACGAGATGTTTTCGTGTCAGATCAAGCCTCGATGACGTTACCCTCACTATGAGTTTATTCCGCTGTTTCGCGTCTTCTTGGTAAAGGCATTCTATTAAATAATATTTTCAAAAATTCTTGCGTGCTTTCAATCTCGACCAAAAGTTGTTCTTTGAGTAAATCTGCCCAAATAGGTGTAAATAGAGCTTCAAGACACTCCAAGATATTTTGGTAACCATATTCAAATTTAAGGTCCAAAAGTACTAGTTCGAGTCCCCCATCTGTGAATATTTCAAAAATTTAATGTCCTCATGGCTTCTCGAAAACCAAACAAATACATACCTGTTTTCTTGCTTCCTATAGTCTAACCTACAGTTGCCCTGAGCTACGTTGAAAAGCGGGTGGTAAGCATATTCTAAGCAATATAGAGCTCTTTCAATCAGCTCAGCTGCCATGGCCAGATCTTCGCTCAGTTTGCACAAGTCAGACAATTGGATCAGAGCATCCACATGGTAGGGATGCTCATTGATTATGGCTACAATATTGTCTGGATTCAGGCTCTCTACAGCATCCAGGAACTTATTTTGCACCTATACAGAGTAGTTCAAAGTTTAACTTACAGGTTTGAGCTCTATACCCAAACCACCCACAATGAGAAATCTTGGATAAAAGATTTAAGTTAGAGCACTAAAAGGTCAAATATGACTTTTTCATATCATTCATTTTTTAAACCCAGATTCCCATATGCTCAAAATTTTATTTTAAAAAGTAATATTGAGCTTTAGTTTATCAATTCCACTGGATGTCTACAAATAATTGATTAACTTGCCTGTCTGTAGCTCTGACTATGTTCATATGCAAAGTACTGGAATCCGTCTTTGTTTTCTACATAGTTCATTGATAGGCCGCATTTACCAACTTGAGGCCAATTTTCTTTACAGCTAACCATTGTGGTAGATTTAATGTGGGCTCTGCCTCCTCCTCTGTTTTTACGTTTGCTAGAAGAACATTAAAAATCAGAAAACCTTTTCACCTCTATATGGCTGAAATTGCCTGGTCAATGACTTCATATTTAAACAAGATATGTAATGTTATTACACTCACTGTTCAGTTTGGATGATTTTAGAGCCAAATATCCTCTTCAACTCATTGTTAGGATTCAAGTGTTTATGCTGTATTGACAGTATATTTTTTCTATGGGAGAGTTTATCAGGCTTGATATTTGTACTGGTAGAAACTTTTGAGGTATAACTTTCACCCAGAAGCCTATTCACCTCTCTGACTGATCTTTCCACCTCATCAATCTGCAATGACATCCACCAATTTGAGTGTTTTGTACCTAACACATCGTATATTTGTCTTTCGGTATTATGATGAAATCTTCAAATGAGGTAACTACTACGCCAATGACAAAAAAAATTTTTGAATATCGGTTCAGTGGCGGCGGTGTGATTGGCAAGAAACGAAAGAACAAAAATCACACAAACTTCGGTTTTAGAAGTTTCAGGGGCTCCTTCAGAGAATATTTTCTTGGCGTCCTTCATTTCATCTGCCGTGCTAACATACGCGTTTCTATCTCGCTAGTACACACTAAATACTCAATGATTTTATGCCGATCCTGCATATACCAGGTTTCGCTCAATTGTCGCCTCAAGGTACGAAAATCAAATTTCGCACGGCAAAGCCAATTGTTGTTATAAGACATTGTGAGAACTAATAGGCGTTTATGCTTGTTTGGAATAGAACTCGGCTTTTTGGTTAAATAGGGTATGGAGATTAAGAATTTGTGTCAACTTGGCGCTAAGACCGATGTACAGTTGACTTCAAAGGCCTCAATATTACAGAATTTTATTTATATTATGATTATCATAATCGGATTCAGCACCCCAAAATACCTAGGGTGTCCCAGAAGTCGACGACTAGCCAGGAACTGGGCATAGGCCAAGTCATAGTAGATATAAAAAAGGCAGACAGTAACGCCACTTTCATTAATTCGTGAATGTATGCAAGCTTGACACCTTAAAAATGATCGGATTATCAGGCGGACGAATCTTCCGTTATTAACATATTCAGACGCTTCCGTTACTCTACGCCGTAGGTCGGCAAAATTTTCGATTGGCTTTGAGTAAACTCTTTCTTTCACCCAGTAAAAAAATCGAGTAGATTCAAGTTAGGTGAACCGGCTGACAAAATTGTACCAGACCGCCGTATCCATCTCGTATTCCCCATCAAGATATTCTCTAACTGAACGGCAATAGGGCGCCGGGCAGCCATATTGCCGGTACCACATGTCTCTATAAATGCTTAGTGGCACGTGCAATACATTTGGTAAATGATTTTGTAAAAAGTCTAAATAAATTTCGGCAGGTCAAAGGTACAATCATTTTCTCTGTGATCTATTTTGTCTCATCAAATGTGGATTTGTGTAGTTCATGTAACCATCTTTTTTAAATGTTGACTCCTTAATCCATAAAATTTTCTCTAAAAATTCCGGATCCTACCGTTGCCTCTGTAACATTGTTTAATGAGACTCAACTCTTGGAAGATAATTTAGGGGCTGTACAGATTATACTTGTTGTACCTGGTACGGGTGGAGCTCGTTTTCTTCGCAATTTTCGCTGGACTGTACTTTTGGACACTCCCATGCTTGCTTCTATTTGACATACTGAAGTACTCAGGACTGCTTGTAGTACGACATCCTCGTAAGGAAAGAAAATTTTTCCTTCACCATGTGCTTGATTTGAAAAATCGGCACTCTGAGAGTAAACAGTGATCATACACAAAAACTCGGTGATCACGATGACGAGCAGCAATTGGGTATTTCTTACAATAAAGCCTAGCTGGTCACTGCACAACTAACATTCTATCTACATTCCCCATAAATAAGGTTGGCTTATTCTTATAGGTTGTATACAGATATGGTAGCACTACTTAATCATGAATTAATAAAAGTGTGGTTACTATATATCTTGCTGTCACTACATAGAATGGCACTGTCAATCACTCCAAGAAAAGTAGAGGATCATCATACAGTGTAGACTTTTCGGATTTATTTTAAAGCCTATAATTTGAAGAGTATGCATGCATCTTTGATGTTTTTTATATTTTTCTGGTAACTGTTATGACTTGACCTATTCCCCGTTTCCGGCTCGACGTTGTCTTCTGGGACACCCTGTATACCATGTTTTTTTTCAATTGTTATCATTGTTGGAATCAGAGAAAACATGGGCGAATGACATTGTTGGGGGCCTAAGTTGAAGCAACTTTCCCTCAATTAGTGTGCATATTTTAAGATGTTAACTACAATTTTTGTAAAATCTTTTACTGTTAGATTCATTGTGCTTCATTAGCTGTCCATGAACTTTATTCTTCATGTTGTGTCAAAGAAATGTATTCAGAAATGCAATCTCTCATCAATGATTTCAGAAAAATTGTAGATATCTTTTGACACTAAGGGCTGTATTGTCAGTCATTCCTACAATTGTAGGACACCTGTATGGCCTTGTTGATTTTCATAGTATTTTCTCTCCTTCAGAAAGGCTGGGTTATTTCTCGATTTCTACAATAAAACAAATGATAAAAATCATGTTCATCAGCCTGAAGGTTCTTAAAGTTCAAACAGAAAACATTTCCTCAAAATAGAGTGCTGACATGGAACAGTATAAATCTAGAAATTCTCTTACCTTTCTGGAGGACAGGAAAACAATGAAAATCAAGGAAACCTACAGTTATGCATATGACTTGTGTCAGACAACAATGTTACTCAACAAAATTCAAGAAAGGGGTAAGAAAGGAGCAACCACGCACGGTAAAATTATCGGGTTCGCAGGTGATACAGCTGTTTTTTATAGCGAAAAATCTTGGGATATCTTAAAGACTCTTATTGAAGAGGATTTCAGAGTCATTATAAGCTTGTTCAATAATAAAATATTAACAATCAATTATGAAAAAACTTTATATCTGACTTTTTCATGTGATGATAGGAACAGTCCCACATTCACTAACATACACATCAAATTACCACCCATAGATGAAGTAGTGGCCCTAAAGCCAGCAAATCATATAAAATACCTAGGAATCATAATAGACAGCCACCTAAAATGGGACAAACAAATAGAAAGCTTAACGAAGAGATTAAGATGTCTTACACCAAAATTCAAATTTTTTAGGGAAATTCTTTCTGATAAAGACTTATGCACCATATACAAAACGTTAGTACAACCTTTGTTAACTTATGAAATTTTGGCATGGGGACCGGTGTTGAATAAATACTACAGGAAACTAGAAATAACTCAGAAATGGATTCTTAAAATCATGTTCCGCAAAACTAACACCTATCCAACTGATATGATATATAAGGTATCCAAGATATGTGATTGTAGGCAACTCTATTTTGAGAGTGTGTTCACATATATTACAAAACATAAGCATTTATTAAATTTCCTCCCACATGACCATCACACCAGATCCAAAGATCATTCAGTACGCATACCAAAGCCTAAAAAGACCATACGTCAGAGGAGTTTCACTTTCCTAGGACCAAAAATATATAACTTAATCCCCCCTCAGATGAAAGATATTAAAAATACAAAGGTTATGAGAAAGTATCTACGACTGTGGATTTTGGACCAGCATAGGCTCAAGATTCATCAAGCGATTGATATCAAAAATATATACTACTACTGAAAGCGGAAATCTCTCTAGATATTTGAAAGTTCAAAATGAAAAAAAAAAAAATGTATAAATCAAACTGATTTGAATTCCTACCCCCTGAATTATTGCATTTTATGACTTATTTTTACCAATTTTTGTTCTTGTCTATTCACCTAATATTGCCTTTTGTTTCAATATTGTCTCTATCCCGATTGCGTCTGTCCCGATTTTGCATCTCCGTCCCGATTGAGTCTTTTTAAAAATTTTACCAGGACTTGTCTAATGAATTTTATATACATATATTTTTTTTATGTTTTTTTTCAGTCTTAAGTTATTTATACATGAGCTCATGCCCAAGCACAAGTTTCTGCGAAACTTTTTGGGTCCATTCGTTTATTGTATAATATTGTCTTTCACCTACTACTGCTATACTTTTTCTTTTGCAATAAACTTTATTATTATTATTATTATTATATGTAAACCATTAATGAGTAGATTGCATAAATGCAAGCTAACATGTTTTCATGTACAAGTTTTTCAAAAATCCTTGCATATTTGGGATCAGAATGAGAATATATTTCTTGTATAAATCATGTGTCTAGAGTTTGTGAGTCAATAACAATTGGTTGTATTTTTTGAAAAAATATGTACTGAGAATATTACCTTCTGAAAAAAATCCATATATTTTTTTACATTGACTTTTGGGGATATTTGGTTATGTCAATGATAAATTGTATATACAGGAAAACATGCTGAACTGAGCATAATGTATCAAGTGTTACAAATGTATTTGGTTTTGCTCTAAACTTACATCAGCATTATCCTCACTGCTCCTTTGAGTATTTGCATGTTTACCAGACTTTTTCTTCTTCTTTTTCTTTTTCCTTTTCAAATCATGTTGTTCTCTTTCACCTCCCTCACAAGATTTAGCTGCCTCAGTTTCGTTGTCATCTTCCTTGACTTCGCTTTCTGAATGCGACTGCTGATTTAACTAGAGAACAGATTGTAGTCAATGATAACTTCAGCAAGCACGTCTACAGTGTGACAAATACTTACCAGATCATAGCGATTAATGTTTAACTGCTTCCTTTTGGCCCCACTTGAGACGGGGGTATCAGTCTCTGTATCTGACACCTCGTCCACTAATTCTTTATTTTTGTCACCTTGCAACTTACGTAATACTCTAGATGACATACTTATCAGTCCACAAAGACCGTCAAGTTAATTCAATAGTTTGAAATTGAGTAAAAAGGATTATTGATAAATACTTTCGGGAGTGCTGATTCTGACAAATGTGACATATTTTGACGTTACGTGACGTGTTTTGTCAGTGACAAATTGTCACTCAAATGACAGTTCCCAAGTGTAGTTCCATCTCAAACCACATAGAGGAAAGATGAAAGTAAGGCGATAGAGGAAGTAGTAGCAACCAGTAATCATGTCTGCCATTTTCCTCTTTACAGCTGATTCATTCAGATAAACAGTAAACATGAATGAAATGAGGATCTTTCTAGACAGACATCAATAAAAAAAACAAGAAACAGTAACTGTATGCAAGAGCTTAGGCCGTATCGTCAGTCGTTCCTACAATTATATTAAATAGATATTTGTAACATTCCCTCAAAATAGAGCGCTGACACGAAAGAGTAGAAAACTATGAAAATCAAGAAGGCTTCCTAGAATTGTAGGAACGACTGACGATACTGCGCTTATGCTTATAGTGCTCTTTTCTAATGTGTGTATGTCCTTTAACCCAATGGCTATCGGGTAGTCCAGTTCTATGTGATTTTACGTGAATCCGTATGTACGTGGCATCACACATCTGTACTGTTCGTCATCTGTGCAACAGGGAAATTAGTTTGGGAGAATTTTATTGATTTGGGAAATTCGTTAACTGTCACGATGACGTTTATACGAGGAGGTTAGCATATTTATAATTTATAAAAGCAGCCGCACTGTTTATTATTTTTCAGTTCCTTATAACATGGCGAGATCTTCGTCTCGTCAAGCAGAGAGATTAAAATATTTTTTATTCGTGTTGTTCTTCCAATCGTTCGGCAGTGCGTACGTAGCGAAAGAAGAATTCGCTCCAGAACTTTATTCATTAGAAATAAAATCTGTGAAAGAAAATGCGGACAGCAGACAGGTTACATTCGAAGTGCGCGGAAGAAATTTGCAAAGTACAACACAAATCAAAGCGACCAAAGCCAAGGCGGAAAAGGACAGTGTGTGCGAGGACTTTGACACAAATTTTAACTTTAGTTTGATAGAAAATAGTGAGTCTACGAAGGCGCAGTATTTGTTAACAGTGCCAAAAAGTGCGAAGGGTGTCATATATTTTTGTTTACCCCGACAAGTCAGAGAGAACAGTGCCCTCGTGCCCCCTATATTTAAGGGAGACTTTATTAGGTGGTATCATCAAGGGCCTGACCTTACTTACAATTTACCTTCCGAGTAAGTACCTAATCCTGTATACTTTTATTAGAAAATAATTTAAATACTCACCTTTATTACAATGATGTTGTGCTCATTCATCTTTTTAATTAATCATTTACAGAGATTTTACAAGATTTTATTGAATAATTAAGTTGAGTGTAACCAACAACTTTAATAGGTTCAAATTGCAAAACTCAATAGAACCAATTAAGATGATATATTCTTTGAGATATTTATTTTCTCGTTGATGTACGTATGTTTCGCATTTTTATATAATAGTATTTTCCATGGAAATGGGTATATCTAAGGTATTTTATTGTTTATCAGTATCAGTAATTTTTATTCAACTTTTGTAAAAAACTCATGCTTCACGCGTATACAAAACTGGTTTGAAGCAGATAAGTATAACCTCATCCAGTTATGTTAGCCGCGCGTATAACGTCACCGCTCGCGGTTGTTTTTGGCATCCTTTCAAAATTTCATAATAGTGCCTACCTCATTTTTTCATAGATTCAGTATGTTCTGAAGATTTCTCAGTAATTCGGCTAAGTGAAAGTTAATAAAGTTGCATATTTTTCAATGCAAAAATACTTTTTAGCTTTAACAGTGGCGTGCGTACGGGTATTGACTTGACTGGTACGGCAATAGTTTTTTTGCCAAATAAAAATTATGTTTGAATTCCCCGTTCAATTTAAAACAAATGATCTCTCTTGAATTGTTTTCCTTCGATGCACCATTTTTGAGTAAAAAAATAAAAACCGTTCTATTGTCCCAGAAAATTTATGTAATAATTGAAGTGTGCAATTTAGCAATAAATATCTAGTTGCTCTGGAATATGTCACTGGCTTTTGACATCTGACAAGTCTCTGATATTCAAATCTGTTCGCTGTGACATCTTTTTCATTATTTAGTTTTCGAAGAACATCTTGAAACGAGTACGAGGAAGATCGCTAGACACTTAAATATTTGCCATCAAATTGTTTGGAGAGTTTTAGTGAATTTTTTGTTATATCCTTACCATATTTTAAGAGTACAGGCATTACTTCCCATTGACTTTCCAAGGCGTGTGACCTTTTGTCAGTGGTATCTTCAAAAAAATTACTCAAAATCCGCAATTGGAATCAATGATTCTGTTCACGGACGAATCTAATTTTTCTCGAAATGCCATTCATAATTTCCACAATATTTAATCATTTGTGGGCAGAAGAAAATCCCTATGCCGTAACCGAAGTCCATTTTCAACACCAATTTTCGGTTAACGTGTGGACAGGAATTATTGGCAACCATTCTTCTTGCCGGGACGACTTGACGGACAGACTTACCTCAATTTTCTTCAACAACAGCTGTTCGTAATTATTTACAAACTGTTTATCCAAATCGGTGGGCCCCAAGAATAGCTACCAAGGTCCCCAGACCTCAACAGTTTAGATTTCTTTTTGTGGGGCTATCTTAAGGCACTAGTGTACACAAGTCCCATTAACACTGTAGAGGAATTAAGAGAAAGAATAGTTGCAGCTTGTGATAGAATAAAAAACACTCCAGGGATATTTCAACGAGTGCGCAATTCCATGAGAAGGAGGGCGGACGCATGCATACTAAGTGAAGGGGGCCATTTTCAACAATTTTTGTAATCATTTCGTCGGTTTTAATGTTATGTTTATGTTGTCAGTTGTTGTTGTTCATTACCCCTAATATGTTTAATTTTACCAATTAAATTAATAATAATTTTGCACGTTAGACAATAGAACGGTTTTTATTTTTTTACTAAAACTGGCGCATCGAAGTTAAACAATTTCAGAGAGATCATTTGTTTTAAATTGAGCGGGGAATTCAAAAATACCTTTTATTTGGCAAAAACCATTGGCGTACCATTTTTTTCTTAAAAAATATCGAAGTAAATACCCGTACGCACGCCGCTGTTAAAGCTAAAATTTATTTTTGCATTGAAAAATATGCAACTTTATTATCTTTCAATATATACTAAATATCAGTGAAATATCTTAAACAGTTCTGAAAATGTTAACTAATTTTCATTTTTTCCCTAAAACTTCAACACCCCGAGTTTTTGTAAGGAAATATTTTTGGACCATAGTTTATAAAGCAAAATAACATTAATTTTTCATGTAGATTCACACCCTTAAATATTCGCATATCATTAGGAACATCCTGTATAGGGCCAATAAGTGCCATGAGTATGTCATATGTTTTGATGAACCATATTGTTGAATAATAAATATAGAAAGGCAGACACACTGAAAGAAATCAGTTTTTTATTATCCATTGATTTGTGTATTCTATGAAGATTGCCAATCTATTACTATATTTGCGCGTCCGAAAAAATATCTCAAACGGAATGAGATACCGTAGAGCATGGGCGCCATAAATTACTTTAAGGGGACTAATCATTGGCCAGAGATAATTTTTTGTGAAGGTGTACCTACCTCCAAAACTCAGTGAGGATCGCGGGAGGGAGGGTTCCCAGCGGACCAAATCATAAAATCCTCAAAATGGTACACAAAATCATGCTGAACATGAAAATACTTAAGTCCAGCTGGATTTCCAGGGGGGCACGCCCCCTTTGGCCCACCCTACGGGCGCCCGTGCCGTAGCGTCATCTATGAGAATTTGTCACAGCTGTTTTCCTCTCCACAATATTAGAAATCTACTTTGACAAGGTTAGTGTCTCATAGCCTGGGGATAGATCCAGTGGGACACACTGATTATAGCCTCCCTAAAAAATGATTCATGACTGAAAACAAGAAAAAAAAATGGCCTCTTTTGTTTTTTATACTGCATGTGGGCCTCTCAACCTTGGGTCGGTGAAGCACTGCCCTATTGAGCCTTATAATATCTATGTCTGTACCAAAAACGTCTAAAAACTTGTAACATCCCAAAATCTAGAATTTTTTCGCGGTTATAAATAATATAAAATATTCCAAGAACCTTTTTCATTGGTACGTTTCATCCTCCTTGCTGTTTTGTTTTGGAGTGACTGAGATGAACGGATGAACATTGGGTGGTTGAAAAGTTTAAAAACATTCATTCAAAACCAATGAAGAAGGAATCAAGCCTTTATGTTTACATTGCATTGTTTGTCGACAAAATTGTGTAGTTCTATTGCACACGTTTGGCTAATTCGAATACCACTACCCACCAAAGTTACAAACCAATACGGCGGCGAAGCTTCTTTTCTCTGGTAAGGATATTCAAGTAGCTATTCATACTGGGTGTAGTCACGTAGAGCAAGGCAGAAATACTATCTGTCAGTTACTGGTCATGCCAATAAATGTGGATAAATCAAATAAGGCAAAGAAACGAAAATATTTATTAACGGTAACAGCATACCAACAGTTCTGCTTCGTGGTTTTGGAAGGTGAACTATACATATATAACGTTCTCTCCATCAAATAGCAACAATGGCAGAATGCCTGATACTGGAAATATTGGGACACCTTGCATGAATTCTACTCAATTTTTCTAAATCCGAGCAGATTTTTGGCTAAAGTAAATGGCTAGTTGATCATAATATAGAGATTTCTGCATTTCATTGTCACTATATCAAACAAAACGATAATAAAAGTATTTCAATGAAATGAATTAAGATGACCTCACAACCATCCAGGTAAAAGCCCAATGTTGAGATATATGCTATTTTGCAACGCCGATGATTATAATACTTATATATAACACTTATCAATAAAAAGATTTACTCTTATTCAGTTCAAACTGCTTTTTGTAATCTGTAACCGTCACTATTTTGGACAACTATCTGGAACACTAGGATTGTATGGAACCCATACACTTTTTCGCAGAAAGGAACAAATTTAATGCGAAATGTCAACAACTGTCAAATTGACAGCTTATGCGTGATCGACTTGTAGGATGAACTTGCATCCTGACTACTGACTACCAAGGCCGTACCTAGGGAGGTAAGGGGCACCTGCCTTCCTTTGTCCGTAGCTTGGAAAAAATTAAATAATGAGAATATGTTTTACAAATATTAAACAATTCATGCACAGGGTTGGTTCTTCACAAGCGGAATCAATAATTGAAACTGACTAACTAAAATCACTATACAGGGTGCTCATTTGAAAGTTTCCCGCCACGAATGTATCGAAAACCACTGATTAAAAGAAAAAACACCGAGACACGTCAAACGATTTGTCAAGAGGGACAACTTTTTAACTAAAAACTACCTCACCCCTTTCACCCTCGGCCCCCCAGGGTCATTTCCTTAAAAATTTTAAATGACAAGGGGTATCGAGTAATAGGTTGTTTAAGAGGTCTTTTGAAGTCCTTTATTTTGACGTTTAATTTTTTAAAATCAGTCGATTTGTTTTCGAGAACATTAGAAAAATCTTTATTTATCTTAATTTATTTACAAACAAAAACACACGAAAATATCACTTTTTATTTCAATAAGTGTTCAAAATGTTTCCCGTTATTGACCAAACAAAGAAGACTATATATATACAGGGTCACAGGTAAATAGGTGTAAACATTTTAGGAGGTGATAGTACAGCCCCTTTGCTATCGAAATTAGTATATAATCCCATACCCTATATTCAAAGGTTGGAAAGTTATTGAAGATTTAATTTTTTTTAAAAACAATCCATATTTCAGAGTAAAAAAGTCGAGAGAGAAAAAAGTTGGCGATTAAACATTTGTATTTTGTGGTTTTGGGTTATTATTTCAATAATTAACTATTATAAATTAAAAAAGATTCGAAAACAATACCAAACAACGTTTAACTAAGAAAAACAAATAACGTTTTACAGTAAGTAAGGTGTTTTACAAAAAAATCAGTATACAGAAAAACGTACAAACAATTTAAATAATATCCTTGTTTCATAAGGAATCTAAATTGGTATGATAAGTGCACAAAAACTGTGTGAAACTAAACATAATGTATTGTAATACAACAATAGGGAGTAAATTTACCAATGGCTTGCCTCCTATTTTCACAACTCTCTGATTGATAAGAAAGTGTTTTTGTGAAAATAATGTAACTGTAAGCTATGGGATAGTTATTATTTTAAACTACGGTTAAGTTACACGATTAGATTATTTACACAGTTGTAATTGTACTACAGAATAATAAAAACTGACTAAAAGTTACTACAATTGGTAAGTAAATAGTACAATAATGAAATGAA